ACAGACACAATGTAGTCAGCACTGCTCTCTGCTTCATTGTATTTGGCTACAGGGCACTGTGGTGATGCCCCCTCAGCGGATGGGTTCATGACGCCCTGTACTCACAGGATGTCTTCAGTCTTCCTGGTTGAATGTGACTTTAAGGTAAAGACTATAAAAATGAGTTTAGTGATAACACAGTTTACTTTATCTTTCCTTCCAGCATTGGGTGGTCCTCAATGATGGAGAGAGTAGTGTAGTCAGCATCATTCTATGAGACTGTGGGGCGCTGTGGTGATGCCGCCTCAGGGGACGGGTTCATGACACCCTGTACTCACAGGATGTCCTCAGTCTTCCTGGGTGAATGTCACTTTAAGGTAAAGACTGCAAAAAAAGTATTTACAGATATACACTTTATCTAATATACAGAGAGTGGCACAGACACAATGTAGTCAGCACTGCTCTCTGCTTCATTGTATTTGGCTACAGGGCACTGTGGTGATGCCCCCTCAGGGGATGGGTTCATGACGCCCTGTACTCACAGGATGTCCTCAGTCTTCCTGGTTGAATGTCTCTTTAAGATGAAGGCTATAAAAAATGTGTTTACTGATGACGCACTTTACTTTATCTTGTGTGTGTGTGTGCTTGTGCGTGCGTGTGTGTGTGCGTGTGTGTGTGCGTGTGTGTTTGGCAGGAACACAGAGTACAAATAAACTAAAATAAAGTACACACGGTGTAAAAACAATCCAAATTGCAAGGTTTCCCATCAACTGTAAACTATAATGAAATCCCCGCACAGCTCGTCTCAGCGGTAACTACTGTACAGACGTCTGAGAACTACATTCATTATAGCAGTGATACAACAGCGCCGGTGTTTGCGGGATTTAAATACACACATACCAAATTGTGTCCGCGGTCCGGTCTATGGACAGTTTAATTGCAATAAAACAAGGGAAAGAAGATGTTTCGGCCCCGGCGCCCCGGAACCGTAATTGGGTTATGTTTTTACTTTTGTCCTAAATTATGAAAGCACATACGTGAAATACACAGGGGAGCATCAATCAGCCAACAGACATGTAATTATTGGGCAAAGTAATTGAAAACATGATTTGTTTCGGTAAACGTGCGATGGCCTCCTATGAAAATTCAATTTGCAATATATCTTGGAATGTGCAGAGTTTTCACAGGTTTTTTTCCCAGAAGGCACTGGAGTTATTTAAAAAAAAAAAAAAGACCAGTGAAAGCAGCGGCAAGTTTTCAATGTGCGGGTTTTAGTGCAGTGATGAGGTTTCCTTGGCGGGCTACTCCCTATGCAAAGTGCTCCCAGACTACCCCAAGAAGCAGATAGAAATGCCCTGTTGCACCCCTTACCGATTCAAAGAACAGACCTGAAATCAGGCGGGTGCTTGGAGTGACCACAGCACACCAGCACACCATTTACACGTGAAGAACATCCATTTAATGACACATGCTTGTCATTTAAATACAAACGTTTTCAGGGCCTCACAGGGTCCCCTTCATCAGGCTCAGAATGAGGCCAGGCTCACAGGGTCCCCTTCATCAGAATCAGAATGAGGCCAGGCTCACAGGGTCCCCTTCATCAGGCTCAGAATGAGGCCGGGCTCACAGGTTCCCCTTCATCAGGCTCAGAATGAGGCCGGGCTCACAGGGTCCCCTTCATCAGGCTCAGAATGAGGCCGGGCTCACAGGGTCCCCTTCATCAGGCTCAGAATGAGGCCAGGCTCACAGGGTCCCCTTCATCAGGCTCAGAATGAGGCCAGGCTCACAGGGTCCCCTTCATCAGGCTCAGAATGAGGCCAGGCTCACAGGGTCCCCTTCATCAGGCTCAGAATGAGGCCAGGCTCACAGGGTCCCCTTCATCAGGCTCAGAATGAGGCCAGGCTCACAGGGTCCCCTTCATCAGGCTCAGAATGAGGCCAGGCTCACAGGGTCCCCTTCATCAGGCTCAGAATGAGGCCAGGCTCACAGGGTCCCCTTCATCAGGCTCAGAATGAGGCCAGGCTCACAGGGTCCCCTTCATCAGGCTCAGAATGAGGCCAGGCTCACAGGGTCCCCTTCATCAGGCTCAGAATGAGGCCAGGCTCACAGGGTCCCCTTCATCAGGCTCAGAATGAGGCCAGGCTCACAGGGTCCCCTTCATCAGGCTCAGAATGAGGCCAGGCTCACAGGGTCCCCTTCATCAGGCTCAGAATGAGGCCAGGCTCACAGGGTCCCCTTCATCAGGCTCAGAATGAGGCCAGGCTCACAGGGTCCCCTTCTAGGGTTGCCACCTGTCCAGGATTCACCCGGACAGTTCGGGTTTTGAATGCTGTGTCCGGGTTTCATGGCAGCTGAAACTCGGACACAAGATGTCAGGCAGACAGGGGCAACCAAAATTGAGATAGGGGCTACAGGCCTCCCCACTGAAAATAGTGTCAACTGTGTTATTTACATATTAATGGGTGATTCTATTTACATATGAACATGCCACGGCTCATTCTCCCAAAAACATTTCTGTGCATCACTAGAGTGTTCGGGTTTCGATGGAAGAAAAAGTGGCAACCCTATCCCCTTCGTCAGGCTCAGAATGAGGCCAGGATCACAGGGTCACCTTCATCAGGCTCAGAATGAGGCCAGGCTCACAGGGTCCCCTTCATCAGGCTCAGAATGAGGCCAGGCTCACAGGGTCCCCTTCATCAGGCTCAGAATGAGGCCAGGCTCACAGGGTCCCCTTCATGAGGCTCAGAATGAGGCCAGGCTCACAGGGTCCCCTTCATCAAGCTCAGAATTAGGCCTGGAGGATAGCCTGTGTAGAGGCCAATGAGGAGGGAGTTAGGCAAACTCACAGTTGGAAAACACAACTTCAGGCTTAACTTCAGCTCTCAACTTCTCTCTCAGCCTGCCTAATTCTCCAGCCTCTCTGGCTGTTCTGTGTACGGCTCCACCACACCACCTGGATTGGCCCCCGTGTGCCTCCAGCACACACCACACCAATTCTCCCTTGAGCTCTGGTCTGGCTCCTTAACGAGGCTGTTCTCGGCCACCTGATCAGCCCAGAATGGTCGTTGCCAAAACCTGGCTACAGGACTGGAGATTTCATCCCACCCAGAGCACTAAGAACTCTCCAGAGCTCCAGATTCCAGCCAGGTTCTTCCTTATGAAATGTTTTACACTCTGGACCCTCTAAGACCCTCTCTGGCTGAGAGTCCTGGTTGCCACAGTTGCCAAACTACACCGTGGCATTGCCTTGCACCGCCACAATACATATACCCATAAAACAAGGCAGGTGTTGCAGCACTCCAATATACCTCTTTCTTTTTTTTTTTTTTTTACAAAGTCTTTATTTACATTTTTCAAATAGTTTTTTAGAACAAGGTACAAAAACCATAGAATCAACCGTACATTAGAATAACACAGACAAAGGGGTAGGAAGACCCGCTCGCTGTATAGGGGCCCCGACAATAGGAAATAATATAATGGCATTGGGCAGTCCTGAGAAGTACTCTGAATGGAATCTAGCATGTCCCACAGCATTAATAAAAGGTAGCGCCAATATGCCAAGGGTGACTTAACTACATAGTTACATAGTATTTGGGGTTGAATAAAGACATATGTCCATCAAGTCCAACCCATATAGGTCCATCTCATTCTTAGGGATACTGGTATCCCTGCATATTACGGTCCCTCAAGAAATTGTCCAAACGTTTCTTGAACAAATCTACACTCTTGGCTGAAATCACATCTATGCAGGTACCTGAGGAGATGCCCACCGAAGTATCCAATTACATCCTGTAACAGGGTACAGTATTCAGAGGAAAGTGCAAATTCCTGCCAGTAAAACCATCTAGTACAATGTTTATCATGTGTGCCCTTGTCAAAAGAGATCAAATCTTCCATACGCTTCTTTTATTTTTTGTACAATATCGTCATAATCACTAATAAGGCAACAGTTTTGTGCCCACCATGTTTCTTTTCCATTCCCACAAATTGCTATCGAATAGTATAAACACTTTTCTGTATATCATTTGAAAGACCGGTTCAGTTGTTGTTATAGATACAGAGTTTCATATACAAGAGATACAAAGACAACTTTCTAATACAAATGTGTCTAAATAATTACAAACTGATCTTGTTTATACTATACAAAAGAAAATAGCAACCATAGCTGGGGACAGAGCCGGAGTGATAGACAATGAGAATAAAAAATATTTCAAGTACGTAAGGATCCTCAGTGTCTCCTGGGCCCTCCTATTATAACGAGCATTGATTTGGTATTATTGCCGTTGGTGAAATATTACCATAAAATAGTCACTCCATTATTTTGAGGTACTACTGTAGGTCTTTCTGAGGGATACATAGGCTTTTTCGGGTAGTAAGGTATTGGGCCTACACATCTCCGGTGACATATTTTTAGTCATCTGGGATCCAGCCTATATACTTTGATTCATCATTGGTCTGATTCTTGTTTTTGCACTTCACTGGAGTCTCTCCAATCCTCTGGAACTCTTTACCCCAACCTGTCTGACTATCTCCCACTCTGACTGCCTTTAGGCAGTCCCTTAAGACTCATCTCTTCAGGGAAGCCGATCCCACCTCAACCTAACCACTCAACCATCACGTTCTCAAACAATTCATTCCCACACAGCTACCTCCTCATGTATCACTTCCCCCTCCCTTTTAGATTGTAAGCCCTCAGGGCAGGGCCCTCCTTACCATCTTGTCTTGAATTGTATTGTGATTGTAATGTCTTCCTTATATTGTAAACTGTTGGCGATATATAAATCCTGTATAATTATAATAAAGTGAAAAATAAAGACTTTTTTGTTTATGGAAAAGCCACGTTCAAGTGCTCTGTGAGCTCCCGAACATGACAGTATATATACAGTAAGTCAATGGGCCCACCGTGAGCACCCGGAGAGCTGAAAAAGCTTTAGACGTAGTAGGTTCAAATGGGTTTATTAGACTCTATATAATTACAAGGTTTATGTTTTCTCTTATGCTCTAATTCCTTTTTTTTCCAGGTAGTTTACAAGTGAGATACAAAGTTGGCACAGACGCGGTGCATGTCTTGACGGTAAATTCAAAAAGACTGGACAACCGGAAGCTGCACTATGTAAAAATCAACAGGGAAGGGAAGGAAATGATGATTCAGGTAACAAGCCAACGCCAAGCGCTGCCTTAAAAAAGCGGCGGCTTCCCCTGCTGTACATTTAGCTCTGCTTGCCCAAAGCAGGGCTAAATGTAGAAAAAAACGACCCGCCCGACAGACGGAACTGCCTGTCCCGGGCGTCGGGAGATAGGAATTCCACACCCCTGCTGCCCGTCTACTCCCTGCTGCCCCGAGGCCAAGCTGTGATTGGCCTTGTGGGAAATCCGGCCCTGCATATGCATAAATGTGATGGTGTGGAAGTGGGTCTTATTCTATGTGGTGACACAGGGCTGTCCCTTTAATGAGGCAGCCAGAGGCATTTGCTTCTGACGGCATTTCTATGGGTCACATGTGAAGAGCTGGGTGGGGAGAAGTGTAAGGACCATACACATCTCCCGGTCCAGCTCTTAGCAACCTGGGATGCTCTGGCCGGTTTTCCACCCAGCTCCTGGCACCCAGTGATGTCACTGGTTGCCAGGAGCTGGGCAGGACGCCAGCCAGAGTGTCCCAGGTTGCTAAGAACTGGGAGGGGAGATGCAGAGCCTGCAGAGGGTGGCATCACTCTCATGTCTGGCGGCACTATCTCCTCTACCCACCTCCAGCTTCTCTGATTGCATGCAGCAGCCGCACCCTGACCCCCCCATTTATTTTTGGCTCACCCTTTTATCCCCAGCATGTCAATCTACAACCACTAAAGTGCAATATTCTATCCGCTATTCTAACCTTAATACATCTTCCTTCAAAATATCACGGAAGCCCATTGTAATTCATTTATTCAGCCGCCACTTGTATGCAGTCATTTCTGCATATTCTGGAAGAAATTACAACAAAAAGTTTGACCTTTCCCCATTTTCCTTTTAAACGACGCCAATAAAAGTCTCAGCCGGCGTTGGCGTTTTTGTAACGGCGAAATGTGAAACGAAACGTCAATTCTAAAAATCTTTTTTTACGACCTCCCATTAAAGGAACAAAAAGTTTGGTTAATACGGCGTCCTGCCTCCCGTCGGTTTGAGTTTCCCTCCAATGTGATTACGCGGTGCCGTTCTACAATTTGTCTACATTGTAAGTGGCATTCACACTGATACGGTGTACCCGGGATTGATTCGTGTTAAACGGCGCACTGCGTTGTACTTTTTCACGGAGGGAAAATAAAAGGATATTTCTGTCATTTTCTTTTCTTTTTTGGAACTCTAGAATTGCTCCACGCTACATGTGTGTGTTTGCGGAGTTCTCGGATGCCAAAAAGATTAAAAAACTCTTTCTTTCATTTTCAGATCGACAAGATAATAAAAGAACGACATAATTTTTCTTCGGATGTTTACTTCAAAGCCATCAAATCGCTTACAATGGGAAAGGTTTTAGGTAAGCCTTCGCTCTTCTCCGTGAATGATCAATTCTTTATTGAAGGAGTGACTGAGGAGAATGTTGATTGAGGATCAAATGTTGGCTGGTAGCTGTTGGTCACATTGAACCGGACTTTCCATAGCTTCTCCTAAACACTTCTTCTGTTCTAATGAGTTTTAGTAACATACCACAAATACCCCCACCATATCAGGAACATACCCCAGACTGTATGCTGACCGCCATATCAGGATTATATCCCAGCATTTAAACCCCCACGATATCAGGAACATACCCCAGAATGTATACCCCACCATATCAGGAATATAACCCAGAATGTATACCCCACCATATCAGGAATATACCCCAGACTTTATGCCGACCACTATATCAGGATTATATCCCAGCATTTATACCCCCACGATATCAGGAACATACCCCAGAATGTATACCCCACCATATCAGGAATATACCCCAGCATTTATACCCCCACCATATCAGGAATATACCCCAAAGTCGATTTTAATTAAGCTAAATGCCTAGATAATGACTATAATGCAGAGGGGGAAAGATAAACAACTTCCATTTAAAGGGGTTCTGTCACCCATCTAAAACTTTTTTTTTTAAAGTAACAGCCCCATCTAAGAGCTGCCATCACTTCTCCGTTCCTATCAAGAGACAGCCTAAGGCAGTTGCCTCTGGTGGCATCTCATTGGGTCACGTTTTGGGTGGCAGGTAAGTCTGCTGCCCCTTTTCCAGCCAGAGAGTCCCAGATTCCTAAGAGATCTTAGCAACCCCAGAGTTTCTAACACCAAAATATCAGGAACATACCTTAGCATTTATACCCCCACCATATAAGGAACATACCCCAGTATTTATACCCCCACGATATCAGGAACATACCCCAGAGTTTCTAACACCAAAATATCAGGAACATACCTTAGCATTTATACCCCCACCATATCAGGAATATACCCAAGGATTTATACCAACATCATACAAAAACATACCCCTGGAAGTTATACCCCCACTATATCAGGAACATACCTCAGAATTTATACCCCCACCATATCAAGGACATACGCCAGACTTTATACTCCCACCATATCGGGAACATACTCCAGATTTTATACCCCCACCATATCAAGGACATACGCCAGACTTTATACTCCCACCATATCGGGAACATACTGCAGATTTTATACCCCCGCTATATCAGGAATATACCCCAGGATTTATACCACCATCATATCAGAAACATACCCCTGGAATTTAAACCCCCAGCATATTAGGACTATTCCCCAGAATGTATAACCCCACCACACCAGAAAAATAACCCAGAATCTATATCTCCCCCTCTGCTGCATCCTCTGCTGCACAATGCTGCCCTCTTTCCGGCCAGAGCATCCCAGGTTGCCAAGAGCCAGGCAGGGAGATGTGTAAGGGCCAAAGACATCCCACGCTCTGGCTGGCGTCCAATCCAGCTCCTGGCAACCAGTGATGTCTGTGATCTGGGCGGGATGCCGGCTAGAGTTTCACAGGTTGCTAAGATCTCTTAGGAATCTGGGACTCTCTGGCTGGAAAAGGGGCAGCAGACTTACCTGCCACCCAAAACGTGACCCAATGAGATGCCACCAGAGGCAACTGCCTTAGGCTGTCTCTTGATAGGAACGGAGAAGTGATGGCAGCTCTTAGATGGGGCTGTTACTTTAAAAAAAAAAGTTTTAGATGGGTGACAGAACCCCTTTAAATGGAAGTTGTTTATCTTTCCCCCTCTGCATTATAGTCATTATCTAGGCATTTAGCTTAATTAAAATCGACACTGATATTCCATTTCAAAGGTGCCATCGATCGGGATCTTTAATGTAAAATAATTGTTCTGCTTTTGGTCCTGGAGGATAAAATGACACAGATTAACAATATTACGATCTGGCGTGAGTCACTGAATGTCACGTTAAGCTTTATCGATCTGCGTTTACCATCTCATTCCCGGTCAGGTGAGATAAAACGGCCGGGGAGACGATTCTATTGTCTCCTCATCTTTCAGCTGTATTAGGTTATTGTCATTTATGGAATATATTTACTGTGCAGTGTTTCAGCATCATCGCTTTCCATGTAGGCTTCCCACAGCCAAAGGGAAGTCGCTGGTTAATCCTTAAAGTGGAAATCCACCCAAAACGTTTTGGATAGAGTGGGAAAGGTTAGAACCTCTACCCGGTGCTTATTAGTCCCCATTAATAGTTCCAGCATTTTCAGCTGTGTTCTATTTCACCTTATGGTCACTGATAGACCCCCCCAAGGATGCCATTTCTGTTACATACAGAATACATTATATACATTTTGTTTTTGCCTTTTAAAGCCCTGATGAAGGGAGATGTTTTGCCCCCCCCCCCCCAAAACAAGTTGGCTGTTTTTGTAGGCTGG